AGAGAGAGAGAGAGGGAGAGAGGAGCACATCACACACACACACACACACACACACACACACGCGCGCGCGCGCGCGCGCGCACGAACGCACGTACACGCACACGCACTTGGGTTCATACTTGTAAAGGAGTGGGGCGAAGGAATAGTGGAAGGAGAGAGGGGGCAATTAAAATTCGGTTGAGCAGCGCCAAGTTTTTGTACTTTAAAATAAAATATTTATTTGTATTAAATTGTCTAAACCGCGGGCAACGGGCGTCCGCGGGCGCCCAGCCGGCGGGCATGCCCCCACTCCAACGGGTAACGGGCGTCCGCGGGCGCCCAGCCGGCGGGCATGCCCTCACTCCAATCATCGCCCCACCACGTTTAAAACTATTTAGTTTAGTTGGTGCCATTTGATAATTACTTTTGTAGAGAAGAAAGTTTTGTAGTGAAGATATTTTTGTAGAGATTGTCTAAACCGCGGGCAACGGGCGTCCGCGGGCGCCCAGCCGGCGGGCATGCTCCCACTCCAATCATCGCCCCACCACGTTTAAAACTATTTAGTTTAGTTGGCGCCATTTAATGATATCATTACTTTTGTAGAGAAGATAGTTTTGTAGTGAAGATATTTTTGTAGAGATGCAAAAAGATAGAGTAACAAAATATATTCGGTCGTTGGAGCTTATACTTGGCGCTTTTTTTTATCTTTTTTATTTAGATTACAACGTTTCGATCTCTTAATCGGGTCCTTTTCAAGCACAATCTAATGTTGACTAAACAATTTAATTTTATGTCAAAACAGGATGAGTTCATGAGTTTGTGACAGCAAATTCATATTGTCATATATGTCTCGGTAGTCAGTGGATTTTTAGTAGCGATGTCAAATTTTCTAAAGTTTTTGAGCAGCAACCATACGTTTGAAGATCTCGAATAGAACAGTATAGATCAGAATAGATCAGTTCTAATCGAGAACTTCAAACGTATGGTTGCTGCTCGAAAAAACTTTAGAAAATTTGACACCGCTACTAAAAGTCCACTGACTACCGAGACATATGACAATATGAATTTGCTGTCACAAACTCATGAACTCATCCTGTTTCGACATAAAATTAAATTGTTTAGTCAACATTAGATTGTGTTTGAAAAGGACCCGATTAAGAGGTCGAAACGTTGTAATCTAAATATACATCAATTATGTCAGTTGGGTCAATTTTTTAAAAAAGAACTTCCCCGTGTAAAACTAGACACATTTAATTACATATTTCTAGTCGCATGAAATATACTATAAATTACCATCGCTCATCATGTGGACATTTATTGGAACATAAGAAAATAAATTTTCTAGCTTAATAAATCTCCAAACAGGCTTCTTAAATACCTCAAATGCGTAGTAATGCCTATTAATAACTTTTGTTTGGAAACAGGATACGAAAGCGCTATCGTGGGCATGCGGCCCCAAAGCGCCGAAGCTCCTCTCGCCTCGTTTCGAGAGTTGGCGCGTCACCCCGAGGGCTCGCGCCGAACCGCGCGTGCGCCAACTAACGGCGCTCGCTGCGCGAATCGCGGTGGTCCCGTCCTTCGCGGCCAACCCGGCGATGCCCGTTGAAATCAAGATTGTTTATTTTTAAGTTTCGTCCCGAAGTCAAATTCAACGGGTCATCGGCTGGAACATTCGCGAAAGGACGGGCCAACAAAAGGAGCGCGCCCGAGCTCGTCTCAGTCTTTGTGAGAGCGCGCTAGATACGTGTAACTCGTAGCCGTTGCTCTGATACTCTCGCGACAATCGCTCACCCGCACGATCCGCTGCATTGTACAATCTTAGGTGAAAATAAAACCTGTCGTTACGTTCCTTCTTAAAACACCTCTATTATTATTCCTCCTTCACGAACACTCTTCCTATCCTCACCGCTGAACCCGCTATCACGCAACCGAACAACTTTGGTATGAAATTCTGTACATATAAAGGATATTTGGCGCATATTATTAATAGTCATGTAATGAATTTCGCCATAGACAATAGTATTGTCATTCATGTGCATAGCTACAGCCATATCTTTATGATAAGTAATGCCGTTTACTTTTACCCAAGTATTAAGTACATATTCGCATTGGATGTTCCATGGAAGTATATTTTTTAAATCAAGATAATCAGGCAGATCAGTTAATTCTTGACGTAGTACAGGACCCAAATTTAATCGGTCAAAAAATCCTTTATCACTAAGAAATCTATGTGACAAGATAAGTTGATGTTTTAATGCCAAAGTGTACGGGCAATTTCTACGGGATCTTATGGCCTTCGCATTTTCTTTCAATTGCTTGTGTTTCGCTTCGAAACGAAAGCAAGATAAATATTTGAGTGGTCCTAGCCTTCTCAATAATCGCGGGTATTGTACGAGGAAATGGTGTTTAGGTTTTAATGATTCCGCAAAAACTTCTATATATAGCGAATGGTGTTCCGATATTAAAGTTTCAAGCTGTTCAGTTGTTGCAGTGGTAAATGATGAACTCATTATAATATTTATAATTTCCCGCAATACAAGGAAAACTTCCCAAGCGATATTATTTACAGGTACCAGATCGCCAATCAGAATACCAAAATGTTCAATTAAAAAAACCATTTCTGACGCTGAAATAATTTAATTTTGTGCATTAAGAGCGTTACTAGATATTGAGATTGGTTTGTTTTTTTCAAAGCTTCGACCACAATCGAAATGCTGCAAGCGGGCATTAAATGTTTCGAGGGAAAAAAATGTTCTTTATTTATAAAAAGGTTCAAGATTTTAGCTATTTCGTATCTACATATTCCTTCGAATAAATCATGCATGAGATCAAGCGTTGCATTTTTATCACATGAAATTTCAGGATTTCATTAAAAACGCATTTAGTTTTCACTCCAGTGGAGTGGTCTTCACAGTCTTTCAGATAATTTTGTTCGGTTTGTAGCAGTTGAATATTTTCTTTTACTTGTTTTCGGCTGTCAATTTGTTCGCGGTACATATTCTACACACATAATGCGTATTAAAACTTGTTGTGAAACCACAAATTTCATTCAAACCTAGATTGTCACCAATAATTGTAAACAAAGGACAATAAATTTTTCGTTGCTGACCACCGACATCTACGGTTAATTGATAGATTGAACGAACTTACCTGTGAAGTTCGATCCTAATTATGCCCTATGTCTCGTCCGGATGGAAATAATTATGTAGTCGTGCTCCTGCACGCTCTTCTACAACAGAGTTTAGATCCAAAAGCAAAACCAAAGAGGGCGCTGGTTCACTTCCGCGCCCTCGTCATACGCGCTTCCGCTTCTCATAAGTTCAAAGCAAGAGGGCAAATCGTTGTATCACTAGGAGAGGGTAAAGACAAGGGTGGGCGTCCATCCGGACGAGACATAGGGCATAATTAGGATCGAACTTCACAGGTAAGTTCGTTCAATCTATCAATTATGCCCAGTCTCGTCCGGATGGAAATAATTATGTAGCTGTTCATAGCTTGTCGATTTACCTTGGGGTAACATATACAAGTATAATGCAAGAAAAAGAAATACATTTTGTGAATAGATATTAATAATAATTATATATAGAGCTAAGAAAATTGTACCCTGGTGTGTGCCCTGACGGGCGTGTATGATAACGATATCTCTTTATTCTTTTTTTTGGGTGCCTAAGAGGCATTAAGCGCTAGGGTAAGAGCACCGCGTTACTAAAATCCTCCGGATTGATGATAGGTCTATTATAAAATGATGCAAAGACGCGAGACTCACCAGTCCAACCCGCCGCACGCTTGATGAGGTCGATCGAGACTCCCTTTTTTGCGGCGGTGGAGGTTGATGCGTAACGAGTACTATGGGCTGAGAACATAGTAATGTCTATCCCACATTCCTCTAAGCCCTGACGGATCCAACAGCTAACAGTCTGGGTAGTAATTGGCTTATGCGGTTTATAAACAGAAATAAAGAGGGAATCGCATCCTGATGGATGTAGAGCCTTAGTTATAGTCAGGGTTGGGAAAGTTACTTTTTAAAAATAACTAGTTACTCGTTACTGAGTCAAAAAAGTAACTAGTTACCGTTACTAGTTACTGATTCTCAAAAGTAACTCGTTACCGTTATCGTTACTTAAAAAGTAACGATTCGTTTCTTTCTGCGTTACTTTTTTAATGCTAAATCGAAATCAGACTAAATAGAAAATTTACTTATACATTTTTGTTAAAATATTAATAAGAGAAATAAAGTATTTTATATTTTAAATCGCAAGACCACAAAAATTCAATTTATTTAAAAGTTTTAATAATTTTAAACTTACTATTATTCTTAAAATATATAATATATCACATATATACATATATAAGAGTTATCTAGATTTAAGATATAGAATTATTTAAATAATCTGAATATAGGAATATAGGATTATCTAAATAATATAAGAATTATATAGGGTTATCTGGATCACAAAATATAAACGCGTTAAATTTTATCGATATTTCTTATTTATTTTTAATAAAGGTTGGTACTCCATTATAGAGTCTCTCGCAGCACACTGACACGGTTGCGCCTGTGTGAGTGAGTACCGAGTGTAACACTTTGATTGTACTCTGAACCCAAAGTTTGCATCTCCGGACCTGACTATGAATACCGCCCATAGAGATTGGACGACGGAGTTCGCGTGATTGGTCGATTGGTGCACGTGACTTATGTACAAAATGGCAGCGCCAATAAGAAAAGCTGCTTACGAAAATTGTTATAGGTTAAAAATATAAAAAGTAACGATAAAAGTAGCTGTTAAATTCGTTACCGTTACTGAAAAAATGTAACTACGTTACCGTTACAGTTACAAGAAAAAAAATGTAACGCCGTTACCAGTTCGTTACCAAAAAAAGTAACTGTAACGGTAACGGCGTTACAAGTAACGCGTTACTTCCCAACCCTGGTTATAGTTAAGTAATGTTCTACCAGACGAACGATACAAAGATTTTCGTGATCCGTAAAGCGTGAAAAGCAAAAGAAAGGTTGAGCGCGACCCGGTGCTGACGTTTTGATCCAATCAGGTATACGCATGATCATCTTTTCCCTAACTGATATTTGTGACAATCTTAGGGACGCAAGCGTTTGGGCACGTTGGCCCGTGGCTAAAGCGAGCAGAAGTACTAATTTCTTAGTAATAACAATTAAAGTGAATGAGTCGTATGGATAAATGGAGGACAGTTTAGCGATCACGGGAGCCGGATCCCACACGTAATCATAACGAGGTCGCGGCGGTTTGAGCGTAGCGAAGCCCTTGCAGAAATGTCTTATAGTGGGGTGCTGGCCGATCTCGTTCTGGGAGATCAGGGAGATAGCGGATCTCATCGTATTCAAAGTCGAATAGGATAGGGTGGAATTCGACTCATGGATTTCCTGAACCAGGAATTCCAACGTCTGAGAAACCGTAGGAGAGTAAAGAGGTAGGCGATGGCGCTGGCAGTGATTCCACCAAAGACGAAGAGGCCGCGAGTATTGCTTTATAGTTGACTCAGATAGAGAAGCTAACATTGTCGGTATGGCGATTGCTGGTACTAGGCGGGTCTTGAAGGCTTCCCCGATAACTTCCCGACCACCAGGGAAAGTGACCTCCATGCCGGATGGTGGGTCCTGAAAGGAGAAGAAAGTAGGGAATAACTAGGAGGTAAAGTTACCGGCTCTGCTATCAGGAGTCGTAGGAATAGTGGGAACCAAGTCTGAGAAGGCCAGCAGGGGACCACCAGGGTCCCTGTTGCCCCCTCATCTACTATTTTTCTTAACACGCGTGGTAATAAAATAAAAGGTGGAAAGGCATAGAAGTCCTGTCTCTCCCATGAGAGGGTAAACGCGTCTATTGTTATTGATCCTGGGTCCGGAAACCATGAGACGTAGGCATCGCATTTGGCATTAAGCAAAGATGCAAACAAATCTACGTCGAATGGACCGAAAGAACTAGCCACCTGCTGGAAAGCCGTGTTGGATAGGGACCACTCAGTATCGGGCACCGCGATGCGAGATTCCGCGTCAGCGATAACGTTATCTAAAGAAGCTATACAGGGTGATTCAGAACAACCACTTGTCCTTAAAATGTCGTATTCTAAACTTAATTCTGAAATGATTTTTCCTCTTGCAAAATTTTCTCTGAAGCTTAGTTTTTGAACTGTAAAGAGGAAAAGAGAACGAATGACGGGCCAGATACTAGAGGCAGGCAGGAGCGGCGCGGCTCACCGTCGTCGCGGGCGCTTACGGCAAGAGCGCCCGCGACGACGCTACCATCAGCTGATCGCGACGCGCTAGTACACACACACACACAAACACATTTTCTCTCTTTTTCACTCGCGCTCTTACCTTGCAGAGATGATGTAGAGATGATTCGATGACTTCGTGTTGCTCTAGTTTCTTGAAAAAGACGATGAGAAAGATGCATTTTCCGATGGACCGTAGCTTAGAGCAAGTTCATTGTAACTTTCACTAAATTTAACATACATTTTCACTAATACAGATCAACTCATACATTTTCACTAATAGAGATCCACACTGAATAATTAATCGGAAATATTTTTTATGTTACTATTTTATTTACTTCACAAAAGAGACGCACACAACACACAACACATAACTTATTAAGGTTGCAGTCGACTTGACTCTACAAATGTTTCGAAGCGTTTTTCTTTTCCTTCCTTTTAATAAGAAAAAAGGAGAAGAACGCTTTTGAAGTATTTGTAGCGTAAAGTTGACCGCAGCCTAACGCACAACTCGTATTTACTCGACGATAGCAAGCAGTCGACTAATTTTTTGTTATGCACTCCCGCACTCAATCCTCCGCACTCGCGCACTCCCGTGCTCCTGCTCGCACAGAAGAACCAGTCCTCTTGTAGTAGGAAGAAACGTATTTATTCGTAAAGAATACAGCGAAAGTCCAGGCACGTCCGCACGAAAGCCAGACTCGAATATGGTGTACACATATCAGCTGTTATTAAGAAAATCGAT